AACTTATTTAGTTACTCACTGGGGCATTGTGCGGTTGTATCGAATCTCGAACAACTCGAGGTATATATTTTCGTAAATCCCCTCAACATCGTTAGATAATTAGCAGTGGAGAAACTAGCGCCATGCTGGGTTCTGACTTCTGACACCAGTCAGAAAATGTGACACAATACTTGGAGACGAGGTTTAGTGAAAATGTGTGACAAGGATCTGCAAAGTTTCGAATGTCGAAACATGCGAAATGCATAAGGTTCACACAACATTTACATAAAGTTAAAAAAAATGTACCCGGACTGTTAAAACAATGAAACTGTTCGATAAATTTTGAAACTTAGAATTGTACGAATTTCTGTTCAATCAAAACATGTTCAGCATAATGTAAAAACGCATGCTATAAAAACTGCATTGAATTGTAAATGAATTTGTCATAAATCAAATGTCATGGCTGCCGATGTGGCGTCAAGAGTACTGAGACTAGGGATCGACATATCGGCCTTGGAAAGGGAGGTGTGGAGGGTGTGAGTGTTTGTCCGTGTGTAGATGTTGTGTTAGCTAAGATGTGTAAAGGGATGTTTGTTTCGGTAGAGTTTTATATATGTTACAGTCAATCTGTCAAACCATCATTTGGTCAAAAATGAATGAAACGACCAGTCATTTGGTCGAAAATGGTCAAAAGACTAACATTCTCAGTCATTTGACCGAATGACTAAAATTTTCGACCAGTCATTTGACCAAGTGACTTAATCGTCGTCTTCTTCAACGGGGTCAGTCTCACGGGTCTCAGACTGCTCTAGGTGGGAACTGGTAGCTGCAAGTAGGTCATCCTCTGCAGCTTGTACAGGATGTCATCAGGAAGTGATGTTGATCGCAATCCAACCTTGGCCTCCATTCCAAAGAGAGCTGAATACGGGGACTGTTGGATACTAGTTGAAAAACTAGGGTTCTTCCTGAACTGAGGGGCGGTGGGGTAGCCTAGTGGTTAAAGCGTTGGCTCGTCACGCTGAAGACCCGGGTTCGAATCCCCACATGGGTACAATGTGTGAAGCCCATTTCTGGTGTCCCCCACCGTGATGTTGCTGGACTATTGCTAAAAGCGGCATAAAACCAAACTCAGTCAGTCAGTCCTGAACTGAATAGATCTGATACCAACTCAATTTTCAATTTTCACTCATCCAAGCACAGATCATGTCCTTGATATCAGAAATCACTCGCTCAACCGATCCTTGACTTTGAGGGTGTCGTGGTTTACCGTGCACAATGATCAGATCCAAAGTTCTTTTAGTTCAGTGGTTACTTTAGCTGTGAATTTAGATCCGTTATCACTTTTGCAGTATCTTTCGGGCACCAAGCAGCAGGAATATGTCCATAAGCTGGTAGGCAACTTCAGCTGCTCTCTTTGATGTTAAGGGTCGTAGCACACAAAACTTGGTCAAATGGTCCTGGTACAACATTCAAAACAAATACCTTGCATTTGATGGATTGACTAAAACTGTTGAGGCAATCAGTCTAACTAGATCTCTATTTTCAGTCATGATCGTTGTAATTTGACTGTAACATTTTTGGTCAACCATTGTTTGACTGTAACATTTATACCAAAGATGCCCCAAAGATGCATTTTACACTGAATGACAGCTATTGCTAGTCGCAATTCATTTTAACTTCATTCTCCTAAAAGAATCTGAGTTAAGTGTTGTTATTATTATTATATATTTGGAGTCTCACCCCAATGTTGTTCATCAGATCGATGCTCATACTGTTGATCCCTGGATTGTCTGGTCCAGATTCAATTATTTACCGACGCCGCCATATAGCTGGAATATTGCTGAGTGCGGCGTAAAACTTAACTCTCACTTACTTAAACATTGAACCGTGTTTTATAAGTTGATAATCAATATGGCGTATATCATATATTTTACGAATGCTTCGATGTGAATGTCTTTCGCTGTTTCATAATCGATATTGTTAAGTGGTGATTTCCATGTTGAAACTAAAAGTTCTCCGGGAAAGTTACAAAGTTATACAAATCAGGACAAAGCTACTACATTTGTAGTGACAGTACACATTCATCGTAAATGTAGAGCAGAGATTTAAAGCAAACTGACGTTGATGGTAATTTATCATCCAAAACTGTCTCCCACAGTAGATATCGCTTGTGTGAGATTTAGAGAATAACCAACTCTGTACGAGTGATTACGGAAATATATCTGAGATGAAATAATGTTCACAGTGCCGAGCCTTGGCCAGGCACTGAACATTATTTTCACGAGGGCATATTTCCGTAATCACTGTACCGAGTTGGTTATTCTATTTATTACCCATAATGTAATTTAAAAAGAAGAACCACGGAATAAAACCACCCGGGACAGGACTTGTGACCTCTAACAGCTGATTCGTATTCATGCGCGTATTAAACCTAACTTCTCCAGCGGTAATAACATAACTACACTATGGAAAATAGCACGTAGTAAAATTGCTTTTAAAATACAACAAAATATTTTGTCTGGAATAATAAATTAACATTTGTTAATATAATAAAATGATCTTTTAAATATATCATTGAACTTAATAACAGCTAAACCGTTATTTGCACATTAAATGAAACACCGAGAACAAGTCGGGTTGGTCTAAGTTAACGCTCCTCACGTACTGCTCGTGCATTTGTTTCACTGTTCCATCCACTGCGCCTACCCCTTGTAATACAAACCAATAATAGCGATTTGAAACTATGATCGTTTGTTAAACAACTTTTATCCAAAGTTGAATATAATTCTGAGATTTAAAATGTTCGATTGGCAAGGTAAAATTATGAGGATTCGCAATCTTAATATCGCTTTATTTGATTCACTTTTTCGTTTTTCGTGAAATTCATCGGTACGTTTTCACTGCAAACAGATTATACAAGGGTTTGACAACAATTTATTGATGGACTGATGTTGTTTCTCATTAATTGAAGAGTAACTGTTTATTCATTGAAAATTTTTGTGCCCGGAAATTTGCATGATTTGATGTACTGGTACACCATTGTCAGAGAGGGTCTGGTCGTTTTCGGGCCTTGATCGGGGTTAGCCTAATGGCGGCCACGTTTGTTTACAAATAACGCAAACGATTGTTGTTGGGTTTTTTAAAGGTTATTTATTTTAGAAAGACTACTATTTATAACGCAATTTTATTTCGAAATAATAATGTCTAATAAAAAGAGTATTCATATTCTTTAACCTTTATGTTTTCTTTTATTAATCTCGGAATGTGTGAGTACAGCACGTTCTAATTATCAATGAAACGGTAAAAGTTGTCAATGAACTTTGATCACGAAAAGTAGTTCCGTCAACAATCATATTTCTTCTCTGCTTAGCTGCCAATAAACGTTGAGAATCACTGAAAACCACATATGCGATTATCAAAAAAATAATCACCTGTGTATCCTAGCCCCTATGGGTAATAACAAGCGCTATCTACAAGTAGTATCAATGTTGTAGATATCGCAACAATTGAACTGTCAACATGCTATTACATCATCAGTTAATGCTCACAAAGCTTTGACATCACTAAGAACACAGCTGACAATGCTACGACGTCGCAAAGTTGATGACATCACAATGCTATGATGTCATGAAGCTGATGACGTCACAATTCTATAGCCTTGCTGAGATCACTGCTCAAGAGGCCTAATGGCAGTTTTGTATTCAGTTAAATTCATTCTTTTACTGATAACTGATGAAGAATGACTTTCGATGATACATAAAATCTCACCCTTGTGTCTCCTGATATCAATTATATCAACACTCGTTGAATAAAGTGAAAACATCAGCAAGCCTCGGATGTTTGTAACTTTAATCTATTCGTGTTGATATAGATAATTAATATCAGAAGACACTTGGGTGACTCCACATTCACCTCACTGCAACATTGCAATATCCGGGTTAGAATTGGTCTTCAGCAACCCATGCTTGTCGTAACAGGAGACTAAGGGGATCGGGTAGTCAGGCTCGCTGACTTGGTTGACACATGTCATCGTATCCCAAAAGCATACGTAGATCGATGCTCATGCTGTTGATCACTCGATTGTCTGGTCCAGACTCGATTATTTACAGACCGCATACTCCGAAACTACCACATTGGGTTTTTGTGATCCGATAAGCATTGCATTTTTACAAGCCAGTATACTGGAAGATAACTATACTTTCTCTTCACTCTCAAATCTGTTGGTTGAATCTGAGACTTAATTTCATTCTATAATATCACCACACGTTCTTCTTACCGAGTCACTTTCTCAGTTCGATACTTGAAAGCAATGTCATTATTTAGCGTTGACAGAATTTCTAACTGTGATATAGATATGTCGTTGTCACAGACAAAACTCAATGTCTTGTTTTATTGACACCTGTGTGTCTCCCTGCCTGTCTGCTAATGGCAATATTCAATACACAGCTGCTATCACTGACCACATGCAATTTGAACTTAACACCAATCAGGCTATACACCATAAACAAAATGCATTGATTTATGGCCCGAGTTCGGTCTCTGTCACATTATGTAATTACACAGACAGGCAGGTGTGATACTTGAACACATGACATGTTATGTTGTCTGTTGATTGTAAAATGTTATACACAAAAAACCATGAGCATGTATTTACAAATCGGGCTGACCCAACATCTCTATATATACACACACAATAAGCCGTGAGGGCATCTGCAAATGAACCAGCCGTTACACAACCGCTCTGAGTGCACACCCACCCGGTCTGACTGGGTTCGGTATCCCAGGCTGTCTTTTGATTTTGTTTCGATCAAAATGGCAGCCACGAATAACTCGTGAAAATGAAGGTAGGGATTCTCTTTTCGTCAAGTTAATGTTTAGACTGTGTTCATAAACTACTAGATTGCTATTTCATGTGTCTATTTCGCTTCTTATTGGTCCACTTACTCCTGAATGTCAGTTGACACAATATCCGAAGCCTCCATTAGATGTAAGAGGTAGTTATTTGTACTTTCTATTTCATTTTAACTTTGCAGGTTAATTCAGCGTAAATCTCAACAATTAAAAGATCACAGTAGAGTATATATATTTAATTCGATATCGAAATACAATTACCATTACATGTCATACTTTTCACTTTGCGAATGAATATGATCTGATTTTAAATAGATTGGTTTCATAACAAGATGGACCTTAATTAGCATGATGTTGTTTATGGTAAAGAAAGGAATTAATAATTTATTTATCACACATTCTGGAATAACCTTTGACTTTTCATGATTTTTAAAAGGAAGGACGTCTTTAGTAAACCTAGTCTGTTATTGAACTATTATTCCGTTTGCATAGTATGTGTAATACGTGAGTGTGCTCTTAGCGTCGGAATGGCTAGCCGACTGTGGCGCTGCTCTTGTGGAGATTTACTGAGAGCAGAGTATCTGCCTGTACACTGCAGGCATCAGGGCATTCTCTCAGACGATTCTAGTCCGGATGGTAAATACCATACATATGCCTGATATCGTACACATAAATAAATATTCAAATATCTTTGTGTCGGTTGTTTGTTCACTCTACAGCACTCTTCACTTTGGGAGGCCCAAGATCTATTTTAGGTATTAAGCGTTTGTTATGGACGATTTGGTTGGTAGTCTCTCCATGACTCTGTGCGCCGTGTACGAGTGGTTCTTGTCAAATCTGGGTCCAGCCTGGTTCCCGGGGTCTGCTGTGCTACGCTCAGTGTCGAAAGACACCCAGGAACAGATCGCCCATAGCCACAGGCCCTCGTCACATGCTCGTGTCTTTGCGAGGATTAAAGATTTTAAAAAATATATTCATAAATATTTGAGATTTGAAGTTTCTGATGAGGTCTGTTTAATACTTTTCAATACCTACAGTTCTTAAAGAATCAGAAGAATAGTGTAAATTTGTCACCATGCCATATGTATATGGGTGGGACAATTTATGCAAACCTGTCTTTACCGATGGACCTCCAGCACCTGAGGGCCTTCTTCAGCTTCATATCTGTGCATGTAAAAGTCAATGAACAGGAAGGTGTAGCTGTAAGAGGCTGAACCTGTGGTGTACTTCTGCATGTGGGTGTAGACCTGCAACATGTTCCCGTGATTTTGAACTTAGTGACATTCACTGACACGTCAGCTGGGAATGCACTTTGACAAGTAAGAAAAAGAGATAATAAATTATATGTAGAAATGATGATTGCATTATGGTGACAGGACTGACTCACCTTTCTTTGATGAGCATGAAGTATTTTTAATGACATGGAAAATTTATTATTCTTTTTTTTTTCATACTCAACATATGATTTGTTTTTTTTTGTGTTATTTCTTCAGAATTATACCTTTAAGAGCTTTTTGTTATATTGTGTGATTTTAATGATAGTTCAACAGTATCTTAGATATATTTGGTATTGTTGATACTTTGTAAAGCACGGAGCTGTTACTGTTGAACAGGCATTTTGCTGATCTAGATGGAAAGTGCCGACTTTTGTTTCCTTGTATATGATTTTCAAATGATATATGTTAAATCTGGAAAACCATACTTCGGGTAAAATTACCTTTAATTGTTCCAGAGGGACCACAGATGCTATAAATATGCGAAAACTGAAAAAATACTATCATATGAAAGAACTGTTGCCACTTTTAATTAAACACATTTGCCTTTAATGTTTAATCAAGCTGTCATCCGTTCCATGAGGAAACTTTATATCAATGTATCGATGCTCAATTTTGAAACATTGCCAATTATTTGTAGAAAATTATTTGTGAAGGAGGTTGCTATATATACCTGAAATGAGGAAATTTATCAGCGGGACCCTTTATTTTGAAGCGACTTATATTTATGACATCGCGGGCAATATCCTAAATTCTGAATAGTCATTTCTAACCACGGGTATGAGGAATATGTTGCTTGAAAGAAATTGATTTGAAAGACGATGTTGCCATGTTGACTTTATGATAATTGCCGCTTGCTGTTTGAAGTTTTCTGTAGGGTATTGGCCGAGAATGAAGGTCAATGTTATTAGAACGAAAGTACAAACAGCTCTTTTGGTACCACGGGATCGTTTTTTGTGTGTGTATTTCGTAAACCAGAAGGGAGGTCATTCAATCAAAAATCCTCCTAACCTTGTTAAGTCAAAATATTGCATGAAATTCGATTATTTAATGATAAAAATGAGGTATGAAACAGTCAATACATTCACAAAAGTAAATAATGAAGACATTAGATGGTTACAGAATAAGACTAAATTGTTTACTTTTCAGAAATTAAACGATTCTGGCCAACAGTAAATAAGACTGGTTCTCCTTCGTACACGATGGACACTACTCCTCTGCTATCAGAACCAGAGGATGGATCCATCCAAGAATCCCCGTATCACCTTCCACAGCCTCTTCGGGGTCCATCTCTGGATGAATTAGCTGGATGTGGTGTTGATGTTAGAAGCCCCGGTGACGACATTACAACGACGGGCATCGACTTCAGGGACGACACGTCTCTCAGCACGAATGTCCAGATCGACAGATTGAAAGAACACGAAGAAGAACACGAACCAACTGTGAGAAAAGTCGTTTTTTCTCCTGATGCGACGACTGCTGATCCAGTTCCTTTGGACATCCCAAGACGTAACCCCATTCGTTCAGCATCAACATACAGTAATCAGGATCTCAGTGACCTTGACAGCGTATCTACTTCCACTCGTCACGATGGCCACTACACCTCTGCCAGTATCGAAAACATGCACTCTAGACCTGTTCCATCTTTTAGAGCAGGTAAGACGTTAGACATCCTATGTTTCCTGGGATATGGGTAGTGGTAACCGTAGTTTCTTACATGCATATTTCTTCGTTTATGAAGGGCATATAATGCGCTTTTGGGGAATAAAAATACAAGATTGATTTCCATAAAAGCAGGAAATCTCCACCTCAAAGACAGAGTCGACTATCATGTGCGTTATTGAATCAGTATCAAATGTCGATGGTACCCAGGTAAAGTTCAAGGAAAGAGGGGTATCATGAAATAAAATCACAAGGGAAATTCAATGCTTCTAAAAAAGAGAGGGGCGGTGGGTAGCCTAGTGGTTAAAGCGTTATTCGTCACGCCGAAGCCCTAACGATTCCCCACATAGGCACAATGTGTGAAGCCCATTTCTGGTGTCCCCGCCGTGATGTTGCTGGAATATTGCTAAAAGCGGCGTAAAAATCCAAACCCAGTCAGTCAGTCACGTCTAAAAAGAACGAAAACATATCTTCAAAATTGAAAATAACCAAGGCTCCGTATTTATACTGTCCCATCGAGACAGTAAAGACAGCAGTTCTGGTACATGCAACTGACGTACTTATATATGTTGAATACATTGAACACATCTTCAATGAACTTTATTACACATATATTTTGAATTTTCCTTTTGATGGGTAAAAGATGCCGGCCAGTTGACAGAAACATTTGATCATTGGTTCAAATCCTAGATTGATTTGT